TTAATTTGATCGGTACATTATAGGCATACAACATTGTGACATTCATTATTGGGAATTTGAACCTTTATATATTATATCTTGGTTCTTATTTTTCCCCATTCCCTTGACCTCCCTTTAACCCCTCCATCCTTCCCTATTGACAAAGACTTTGATTTCCACAGTGGTTGCACCAGTCTGTACTCCCACCTGCACTGGAGCAGAGTTCCTTTCTCCTCACAACTCTGCCAGTATTTGTTACTGGTTGATTTCTTGATAGCAGCCATTCTTTCTGGGGAGAGGTAGAATCTCAGTGTTGTTTTCTTCTGCATATCTTGAACAACCAGTGACGTTGAACATTTTTTCATATGTTTATTTGCTATTTCTACTTCTTTGTTTGAGAAATGTCTGTTTATTTCAGATGCCTGTTTTTGGACTAGGTCTTTAAACTTGGGAGGTCTGATATTTTTAAAGTTCTTTATATATTCTAGATAGTATACCTTTGTCTGAAGAACAGCTGGTAAAGTTTTTCCCCACATTGTTGGTTGTCTTTTCAAACTGCTATTGGTTTTTCTTGCTGTGCAGAAAGTTTTTTAGTAAGAAGACATCCCACTTGTTGATTATTTCTGTTAGTTCATGAGCAACTGAGTTTTTGTTAATGAAAATCTTTTCTTACACCAATATCTTCAAGAGTTCTACCTCACTTATATTTCAGCTGGTTTAGTGTTTCTGTTTAAATATTTGGATCTTTCATCTGTTTCAATTTTAGTTTTGCATGGTGAGAGATAAAGTTCTAGTTTTAATCTTTGACCGGTTGAAACCCATTTTTTTTCCAGCACCATTTATTAAAGAGGCTATCTTTCCTCCAGTGAGGGTATCAAAGATGAGGTGGCTGAGTGTGTATGCAGTTGTTTCTGCATCTTCTAATCATTTCCACTGATCTTCAGGTCTGTTTCATTGTAAGTATCATGCTGTTTTTATCCCAGTAGCTTTGTAGTATAGTTTCAAATTGAACGTCGTGATACCCCTTACCTTGTCTTTATAGCCTAGAATTGCTTTTGCCATTCTAGACCTCTTGTTCCACATAAATGTTTGGATTGTTTTATCAAGGTCTGTGAAGTATGCTGTTGGGAATTCAATTGGGATTGCATTGAATCTATGTAGCAGTTTTGGAAGTATGGCCATTTTCACTGTGTTGGTTTTTCCTACCAAGAGGCAAGGGATGTCTTTCCATTCTGATATCCACTTCAATCTCTTTTTTTCAAAGTGTATAGCTTTCTGAGTAGAGGCCTTTGATTTCTTTCATTATGTTGATTCTTAGGTATTTAATTTTTTCTCCTCTCTCAGTGAGTCTGTTGTTCATGTACAGGAAAGCTATTGATTTTTTTATTGACCTTGTATCTATCTACTCTAATGAATTTAGATATTAAGTCTAGAGGCTCTTAGGTGGAGTTCTTGGGTTTTATATATAAAGAATTGTGTCATTTCCTTGCAGCCACTGCTGTAGAATGTAGCCACTGCTGTGGAAGATCTTCATCGGCTTGACAGTGGTGCTCTGGCCTGAGTTGCCTGTGCCCAGCAGGAGCAGCTTGATCTCAGGGAGCTGCAGCTCGCTCTCTGAGTGCAGGTGGGAGTTTATTTGATTCTCTGGGACCTCTGAGACAACTCTTTCTCCTCTGAACATTGCCGACGTCCCATCGTCTGGCAGCAGCAGGCCCAGATGTAGTGAACAGGTGGTGCCTCTGCCTCTCACCACAGAGCAGGGAAGGCCTCAGCGAGGGATGCTGAAAAGTGGGCTGGTGCACCCAGCAGACAAGAATCAGCTGTCCTGGGAGCACTTAGTTGCCATACCACCCTTGGCCCAATACCTTCTCTAGCTGGCATGGCACTTCCTGCAGTGGGGTGGTGGCCGCACCCACCCCTCTACTGACACTGTACCTCCCTTGTCAGATGCATGGCCTGATTTGGCTTAGTCATTCCCTATCCTCTGTCATGGTGGGGAACTTTGCTTGTGACTACCTAGGCTGCTGCCCTCTGCTTGCTGGTTGCTGTGGCCATGCTGCTAAGCACAGTTGGAGGGCCCTGTGCTCCCTGTGGCTTATCTACCTCATGCTCCCTGCTGTGCATCCTGCCCTTCACTGGAAAGCTGGGCACAGTGCATCTGTGGAGCTGCTCTGGGTGGGGTGTGTAGCTGTGTGGGGCCAAGGCACCCTCAGGCAGCACAAAAATGCTCCAGCCAGCCTAGCTCCCTGCACCATTCTCCCCATCTGTTTCCTGCTGCCTGCCTGAGGGTCCACAGGACCCACCCTGTGGGGCTGGGGTTGGGAGGCAAGCACACCAGGTTGCTAGGTCAACCGCTGACCTGTAGATTCATTTTGATCATGGCAAATTGAAGTTCTATATGTCTCACTTACCTGCATGTGAAATTCGTTTTCCATGCTTGAGAAGTTTTCTGTCACTACTTCTGTGAACAGATTTTTTTATGTTATTGGTGCTGACTCCTGTTTTTCATAGACTCCATTGAATCTTATATTGTTTTTCTTTGCTTCATCTTGCAACCTCTGGATTGTTTTTCTTCTATGGTCCCTTGTTATTCACGAGATCTTTCTTTTTGTCTCCCATCTTCTAGGTCTGATATTCTGTCTTCACTTTCATTCATTAGGTTTCACAAATGTTCAATGAAATTTTTAATTTCCTGGATAACTGTTTGAATCTGCTTTATGGTTTGCATTTTTCCCTATGTTGGGCATTTTCCTAAGGTCCTCTATTTTTTCAAAAATCTGTGTCTACTCGATTTGCAAAGCAAGTCCTTAAGTATGGTCATCAATTCTTTTTTATCTGACAGATTATTTCTGATTTGTTTTTTTCCATAGCCTCATCCATCTATTTTTCTTTTACTTCTGCTGCTATCATTGAAGAAATTTCAAGTGGGTGACGTCTGATTTCCTCCATCTCATTGTCATCATTTGTCTGGTGTGGAATGCAGGTCAAGGATACATTTTGTTTCTGTGGCTTGTGATTTTCCAGTATTTAAATTTTATTTTGTTTTCTGTGTGGTTGCTTGTATTTTTCTTATGCTAGGTAGCTGTATCAGTGGGACTGAGGCTTCCCTAGGACATGTCTGTTACTTAGAGATACCTTCAGTGTGTAGCTTGCTCTTGGTCTTTCCGTCATCTCAGGATCCCACTTTCCCACTCTACTGGTGATGAGAAGTTGCCATCTATTTGGATCAGGACCCAGTCATTTGGTAATGGGCTATGTGAATGGTTATGACCCTAGATAATCACAGTGTGGTCATGAAAGGCTGTACAACTAAGTATAACAGAGAAGGCTTCCTGGCTAAAGTAGTAGAAATAGTAAGAACAGTATCATCTCGCTCATCCTAGAAACTGAAAAAATGTAAAAACTGCTAATTTGGCATCTGTAATTACAGGAAGAACATCTATAATTCTTTAATGAACATTAGCCAGCAACTTGTATGCAGTGAGTTTCACCTTGATAGAGCAATTTGATCTTGTGTATGTTTCAGTATTGAAGAAGGATAGGGGAAAAGCACAGTGATAAGTGAAGAGAAATAGAATAGAAGCAAGACTGAAGGACCAAGGATGATCACCCAAGCTTTTGGAACCTGGAAAAGAAGATAGGAGAGAATGAATGAAGGAGAAAGCAAAATACCATCAAAGTGAACCAGAAAGACAAGGACCAATGTTCATTCACATGAAAATATAGAAAAAAATCAAGAAAAAATGTAAAGGGAGTAGAGAAACAGGATGGACAAGAGAAACAAAACAATAAGATGGAAAACTTAAACCCCACAAAATGAAAAAATTGACAAGAAAAGGAAAAATGAAACAACCTAATGAAGAAGGAGAAAAAAATTCCTCTGGTGCCCTAGTTCTGCAGTAGTGTCCATGTTAGGGCCCAAATATTGCTGGGTGAGCCCACTTAGTCTGCAGTACGATTAGTGCTGGGTGGGGGTTAAATTCACTACCAGTTGTAGGGAATGGGCCCAGAGTCTTCAGGCAGCAGCCTTCTGGATGGCCCGCCCATGTCTCCTTCCCCTGTGTGTCTCTGCATTGCTCCCCCAGATGCTGTGGTGCTCTCAGATGGCTGTTCCCAACCCTGAGTGCAGTTGGCTCCTCCTGGACCTTGCACAGCCTTCTCTGTTCCACCCAACTCAGGTCAGGGGAGCACCAACTTGTAGATCAGGGGAGCACCAACCTGGCCATCCTTGATGTATCACTACCCAAGGTCACTGTGCCACAGGTTGCTCAACAGGGGACTTGTGGAAACACCACTCCCCATCATGCCACTGGCCGAGGATGCTTGCAGTGTTGCAGAGCAGGGGGACTCTCCCTTTCTTTGGTACTAGGGCTAAGATGCTTTTGGCAGCCACGGGAGTGGAGTCTGGGGCATTGCAGGGCCTATCCCTCAGCTGAATTTCCCAGAATGTGGTCCAAATCCTGGCAGTCATCTGTGCCTGGATGACCCTTCCCTCCTTCCACTCGGGGACTTTTGAGGTGAAGCAACCCTTGGGATGTTCTGCTGCCAGTTTGAGCCCCAAGCCCTTTCACATAAAATGGCAAACTCCCCTCCCTATTGCTGCTCCACATGACTGTGAGCCAGGGCACAGCTTCATCTCACTCATCATCCACTGACTCTGGAAGACAGCTTGGCCCGGGTCAGGGTTCCATTTCTCAGGGAGGAGCAGAGTTGTTTTTGCTGCCTGCCCACTTCCAGTGCACTGTGCTGTCTCTGGTCTGTGGTGCTATCTCTTCTGCAGCAATGAATCCTAGTTTTTCTTCTTGGTCACTTCTCTGTCCCCTCCATTCACCTTGTTTTGTTTTCAGTACAAGGCATTTTCAGTTCAGGTCTTGCGCTTGTGAGGTGGGCACGGTGCCACTGATCTAAATCCCAGCCCAGCCTCCACTCACTTTGGTTCATCTCCAGACTGTTGTTTTCCAGACTCTCAATACCTCCTTCTGGAGAAGATGCGTTCCTAGCATTTGCCACTCTGCCATTTTCTCCTACAGTTGTGAATCCTATCTATGTATCTGTCTGTCTGTCTATCTATCACTAAATTTGTTTCTCTAGTAAGCATTGACTAATACAGTTATAGTCCAGGCTCTATGTCTCATCATGGCCACACAGCAGTGTTTGAGTGTTTATGCTCTGTCCAGCTGATCTTTACTGGGTCCCAGGCTGTGCACCGGCCAGGCTTGCATCTCGATGTCCCCCACTGCATCATGCACTATATCTGGGATACTTCAGAGCTGGTGAATCCAGGGTGTGTGATGCTGCACTGAAGGATGTGCAGTGCTGACTTAGTACACTGATTGGAAATAGCATAGTTCTGTGCACCAAGGGGTTACTGAAGACAGGAGCCTCACCCTGATAGGAGTGGCAACACCCAAAATGCTTTAGCCTTAATGGGATGGAAAAGAAGAGTTATAGAGCAAGAGGCCATGCAAATAGGGCCACTGTCTGCTGATAAAAGTAGCCCAGCCCTGACCCTGCAGCTCTGCAGAGGAGCCCAGCCGTGGTCCCAGCTGTTTCCCCTCAGTGATCAGGACTGAGCACAGGCTGCTCACCATGGAGCTTGTGCTGAGCTGGGTTTTCCTGGTTGCTCTTATAAAAGGTAACTAATGAAGAATAAGAGAGAGTTCGTGTGTGTGTGTGGACCAGAGTAGGATAAACAGTGGTCATGTGTGACATTCTCCTGAGCAAGAAGTTTCTCTGTTTGCAGGTGTGCAGTGTGAGGTGCAGCTGGTGGAGTCTGGAGGAGGCTTGGTGCAGCCTGAGGGGTCCCTGAAACTCTCCTGTGTGACCTCGGGATTCACCTTCAGCAATTACTACATGCACTGGGTCCGCCAGGCTCCAGGAAAGGGCCTAGAATGGGTTGCTCGTATTAAAAACAAGGCTAATAGTTATACAACAGACTACACTACATCTGTGAAAGGCAGATTCACCATCTCCAGGGATGACTCTGCAAGCATGCTGCATCTGCTGATGAACAGTCTGAAAGTTGAGGACACAGCCGTGTACTACTGTACAAGAGACACATTGAGGCGACCTCAGTATGAGTCCAGACAGAAACCTCCCTGCTGTGGTGCTCAGGACCAGCAGGGGTCGCACAGGTCACACTGAGCCCAGTGTCAGCCCAGGACAGGTGCAAAGGGCGGCCCAGTGTGATTTCCTGTCAGGATCTGAAGGTTCCTGTCCACGTGACACATTCCCCAGGAGACTCTGCATTCATGACTCCATATTTTCATGTCCCTGAATTAAATTTGATTCCATAGTGCATTAGCTACTTTTCTTTTGATGCTGAGACAAAATACTAAACAATCAAAGTTAAAGGAGAACAATTCTGTGCCTTACAGTTGGTACAGGTTTCAGTCCCTATCTAGCTGGCTCAAGGGCAGAGTGGCACTGGGACAATAGTTCATGGGAAGGAAGCAGTAACCAGACGAAGTGACTTTAGCAGCATCTTTCTGCCCCTTTATCCCATCCAGACAACCAGATCAGGGCAGTGCCTGCCATTCACTCACAGGGAGTGGTTTAGCTATCACCACGCTTCATCCCAGCACCACACGTCCACATTCAGCCACCTTTGAAGAAGAAAACCCCACCACACCCACATGAGGCTTTGGGGTGATATCTCAACACGAGCTGTAACAAAGAGTGGGAACAAATATGTCTTCAGAGCAAACATGTTCAAATGTCCCTTCTGAAGGCAAATGACTCTTTGTGCTGACCAGGACCAGATCCCAAGGGCACAGAGTTAACATGTCATACATTTTTTAATGAAAAACACACCTCAGTGATATTCTCTTTTCACCACCAATCCTTATTTTTCATTCTCCTTTTGTTGTTTCATTGTCCATTTCCTTGATATGGAAGACAGTGGAACTAAGAAGATCCCTGCCTGATGATGATGCAAAAACTTTATCCTACTGAGGTAACGTGATGTGGCTGTGACCCAGATCATCCCGCAATCAGCACTGTCCTTTGCAGAATCGCCCAGAGCACAACTTCCACATGGACTCGACCTGCAGCATCCTCTTCCTGATGGCCGCTGCTACAGGTAAGGGAGTCCTGTCTCAGGGCTGAAGAGGGGTCTAGAGCTGTCAGGGGGCACTGCCTTCACGCCTGTCTCCTCCCTACAGGTGTCCATGACCAGGGGCAGCTGGTGCTTTCTGGGGCAGAGATAAGGATACCTCAGGCATCAGAAAAAGTCTGCTGCAAGGCTCTGGCTATACTTTCACCAGCTACTTCTTAAACTGGGTGCCACCACACCCTGGATGGGGATTGGAGTGGATGTCACGGAACCACTTTGGTCATTGTGACACTAAGTGTTCTCAGAAGTTCCAGGGAAGGGTCAGCCTCAATGCAGACCCCTCCTCCAGCACAGCCTAAATGCAGCTGAGCAATCTGAGGTCTGAGGACACAGCTGGGTATTACTGTGCAAGACACAGAGTGCTCACCCTCATCCTGAGTGTGTTAGCACCCCAGGGAGGACCAGCTGCCCTGGGGCCGACACAATAGTGAGGATGAGGCTGAAGACTTGCTTAGAAAACTGAATGAAGTAACTGACGACAGGTGTAATAGAAACAAGTATGCATCCTAATTTCATGGTAAAATGTTCATATCATTGTCACCCTACATACAAAATACAGAGAAGTCTTCCAAGTAAGAAGGTTTTCATAAGCACTGGTTAGAAATCATTTGTGTTGACACATATTTAAAATCAGTTTGATACTTAGCTACAAGCCAAGTTCATCATATGAGAATGCTATGTTTAATTTCTAACAAATGACCTAAATCTCTCCTGGAATGTCTCTGCCATTTCTTTTCAGCAAAATTTAGTTGTAATTCAGATTTATGTTCACAGTAAAATACAGAATAATGCATAGAGACTTCCTGTGTATCTCTTGCCCTTTCAAGCACAACATACCCCATCAGCGGCACCCGGCCCTCCTGTTCTGCTGTGTTCTGCAGGGTGAACACCTGTGATGCTACAACTCCCAGAATCATGGTTCTCACCTGAGTTCACTTCTGGGGCTGTGAGTTCTGTGGATTTGGACAAATGCTTTATGACACGGCTGCCCCATGGGTGTCTGAGTGTCCAACTCTCTAAGGTGTGGGACTCATGGACCCTGAGTACAAGTTTCCGTGCAGAAAGTCGAGGGATGGAGTCTCCAACAGGAGTCTGCAAAGCTGAGCGCCTTGGGGAGTCCAGGTGGCAGGGCTGGGTCTGTGCTCCTCTCTAAGAAATGTTTGTCCTCCTCTGTAGCAAAGTGCCTGCCCCTCATCGACTCAGTCCTGATTCTTCCTTCCAGGCTTCTGCAGACTTTCTAGCTGTGCTATAAGCGATCTTCACCCTGTGGGGAGAGCTGGAGGGGCTGAAACTGGTGGAATCCTCCTCACCAGATGTATGAGAACATAGGTTTCAGCCCAGTGGAGTGAGCCCCTTGGATCCTTCTGTACCATTGCTATCTTCACCTCCATAATCTTCTCCCAAAATGCAGGAATTATTTGCGTTCCTATCTACAGGGACTCTGTCCTGCTGCACTTACCTTCCTCAGGACTTGTTTTGGCCAATGTTTTGCTCTTAGATTTTCTAAGTAATGGGTATGTCATGGTTGTGTAAATATATTTTTTGATGAAAGACACATTTCCATTTTGTCATGAGCCCTAGACGAGTGTTGTCATTTATATCATTGTAGCATTTTGGATAGTTTTATATTTGGTTCTGTCTGAGAAGGTCTTGGGAATTTTCATTACATGTTCTTTAAGAATTAAGGAAAAGTCAGATTTATTTTCTGAGTCTGTGGTTTGTCTTTTATTCCTTTCATTGTATTTTTAAGGAAAAAAAAAGCTAAGTTATTGATGCTGTAATATTTTTAGTTTGAAGATGTTAACTGCTATTTAGTAAGTTATGCCTAGTGTTTAATGTTTAGAATGGCACATAAAAATGAGACATAAAAATTTTTCTCTTCAAATTCTTTTCCCTTAAATTTTTCTCGGTAATACATATGAATTTTTTTTGCAAAATTCAAACAATTGCAACCTTCACCAAAAATGGGTTAATAGTGATGTTTAATTTTGTATTTCATTGATGGTTAGGAATGGCATGAACCTTCTTATATACCTGTTCGCCATTCACACACCTCTGCAGAGAAACATCTGTCAAATATTAGGCAGTTTTCAAAAGGAATCATTTGTTTATTCATTCGTTCAAACCAAAGTGAAATTTTCTTTTAAGTTAGATGTTGAAATTTTGTTAGATAGCTGAGATATAAATATTCTCTCCCTTTCACAGATAGCCTTATGATGTTGCTTATTTCCCTTTTAGAAAAAACAGATTTATATTCTATGTATTCTGACTTGCCTGTTTCTGATTTTGTTGCCTCCACGGTTTAAATTTAAAATTCATGGAAAGAATCAACGTGAATGAGATTTCCCTTTTTCTTGTAAATGTCTCATAATAATTTTGCACATTTTATTTCATTCATTTTTATTTAATTTTTATAACGAATGCCATAGTTTCACTATCATTCATTTGCATGTAGATATCCAGTTATGCCAAAACCATTTATTAAAGAGACTTCTCGTGCCTAACTTACTCTTACTTTTCTATTGAAGTTTTTTGACCTTGTGAATCTGGAATCATTTTGTGCTCTCTCTGCTTTTTCACAATGGACGTAATCAGTAGAATTCTGTAAAACATGTACAATTGTTTCTCTTTCTTTCTGCCTGCCTATTTCTGCCTGTGTTGGTGTCTCTTCTGCACACACACACATATGCATAGTTGTGCTATAGTTCAGTTAATTAGATTGAGTGTATATTTAAGATAGAATGTTATGATTTTACATTATTCATTTAAAAAGATTTGCCATAATTCTGTTTTAATTGGCTTTCTTTTTTTACTTCATTTGAGTGCTAAACTCACAGCCAATAGTACATCACGTCACACTGCTAATCATGGTTTTCTGTGAAACAGGGCTGTTATGGGCACACAGAGAGGACAGGTGGTTCTGACCCCCATGTGTGCACAGACTGCTGAAAGCGGAGCTGAGGTGCTGTCCTCAGACACTGACATCCCTCAGACGTGACCCAACCCATGAATTCCTGCTAACCTAGAAAGCCAACTCTGGCTCCATCTCCTCACCCTGCTCTGCACCATGTTTCTAACCTGCATTATCCCTGAGTTGGCTTGTTTTTAGGAGATGGGAGTTTTTATACTAAGAAATAAAACAAATGATGAGAAATCTTAACATATATGACAGTTATGAATGGATCACTGAGTGAAATTTTCATAACAGCAGTAACATAGCCCTCACAGTTCTTGATAAATGTGACAAATTTTTTCAATGATAGGGTTTATTTTATTTTCCTTACCATGCTATGATACCATTTAATAACTGCAGTAGTATATTTTAAGGGTTAACATAATAACTTTATTACATGGCATATTAATAAGCATAATTATGTTCATAAGCAGTATTGCCTTGGTTCCACATATTCATTAGCAGAAAAGTGTGGGTTCACCTCCAATAACTTTATGATGAGCTGTAGCTGTAAGTGCCATGATCCGTTGAGCTTATTAGGTGAATCAGGTGAGTTGAAGGAATTCTGTTGGAAACAAAGTTCACAGAGACATCAGATGCAGAACTGAGTGGTCTAATGCCCATCTTTACCAAGACAGAGTTCTGGTCCATAGTGCCTGGGTTAACCTCCTGTCTACAGCACTTATTCCCCAATGGTCTTGGCATATCCCATAAATTCACTTTCCACAATGTGCTACTGAGGTGTAATAACATTGCTAAGACAGCGACTGTGTGGTAGAAATGCTGCAGAACACACACAGTGCGACTCAGTAAACAAGAGTGGAGTGTGGCCCACAGTTACAGCTGTGGACTAAAGAGCATCGTTGTTGATTCCTGTTCTTCATGACTCTTGAGTTGATGAGGAAGCCCAGAAGAGAGCAGCACTGCAAAGTTCAGGAGAGGAAGGAGCCCCACTGTTGGCTGCCACCTGTAGCTGACCTACTGTGAGGCTCAACTTTCCCCTGCCTGTGGACAACGGTGGAGGAGTCTGCTCACTTCCAGGTCCTGACTGACATCCTGTTGTATCAACAGAGTCAGAAGGACCCTTTCGTACTGAACCAGCCCCTCCAGCTGCATCTCTCACCTTCTGTTAGTGAGCATTATTTTGAATATAGTCCAGGTAGCTTCATGGGATACGGATCAATACAGAAGAGATGCGATTAAACATGTTCTCTGGAGCAGCCATAAGGAATATTAGGGCAGTAGGTCAGGGGCAGGGAGAGACCAGGCCATGGCAACATTTCTGAACATCCACACATGGCAGCCATATTCTGTTCCCAGAAGAGCTGCAGAAGAGAAGAAACTTGGAGTTTCATCCCTGAGACACAGGGTAAGAGTCCACACAGTCAACCACAAGTTAGGAACAGATGCTTCCTTACACAGAGGATGGACTCTAGCCCTCCTGGCTCCCCAGGACATGTAGGGAGGCTTCCTCAGCCCAAGTGCATTTGCCAAAGATCTGCGCAAAAAGGAAAACATGCGGACCCCATACGGGTCCAAGTACTTTACCAAGGAATACAATGTCCTCTACTATGTCCCCTGAGCTCTGAGCAGGTAGAAAGCTGTGTACAGTGTCCTGAAAAGCATGATTATAGGTCCCCTTAGAGAAAACTCACTACTGGAGAAATTCTGACTTGAAGCCCTAGCAATGGCCAAAATTCTTAAAGAGGAATATGTTTAGAATGAGTTTTTATATATGTAAGCTGTCCTTCAGTATTGTGGTTTATAAACAGAGATACATTTAGGGCCAGTTAAGAAAAGTCCCACCACACAATGGATTTTACTTGGAAATGGAATGAGGTTACCAATTAAATGAAATCAGTATTTTTTTTTCTTTTTGGTACCGGGATTGAACTTGTGTCCTTGTGCTTGTGAGCCAGGAAGCAGAACCAATGAGCGAAATCCTCAGCCCTAAGTGAGATTAGTATTAATGAATCAATATTATTTGTGTTATTCCTGAGAGAAAGAACAGAGGATTTTCAGGTGTGACACTAAATATGCTCTGGAGGGTTTTCAATGAACCCAAACCAGTGTGAGGAACCTGCAGAAGAGGGCAAAGAGGAAAAACAGGATTGGATTCCTGAGACCAGGACAACTAAACAATAGGTGTGCACAGCATCCTGTAAAGCTGAAAGCCAGAAAGGTTCACAGCGTCACGTGATTCAACAGCTGAGCCCTTTTTGGGGGTGGAGAAGCTGTGGCACACGTGCTACAGAGCACACAAAACCCTTCTGTAGGTGTGGGCGCCACATGGCTCCAGCAAGCCAAGACCCCAGCCGGCTCCAGCTGCTGAGCGTGGAGTTTCAATGGCAGTGGGGGCATTTTGCATTAAATAAGTGGGTTTGTGCTGCATTTTAGGCGTTTGTACTGTGCTTACTCAAATGAGAGATATCATAGAGTATTTAAACTCACAGGCCTGGTTTATGTCACTGTATTTTATTTCTGAGGGCATTCATTTCCCTACTAAGTCTCACATTTGTCTTTTTTTATAGCCGAGTAGTATTCTATTATATGTAGAGAAATAAATACCACATGTTCTTTATCCGGGAATCTCTGGATAGGAATGCAGGCTGCTTCCAGGATTTAGCTATGATAAATTGTATTGCTGTGAACATTGGTATGCATGAGTCACTGCAGTGTGATGACTTGTTTTGAAGATCTAAGTACAATGGAAATTAGTATGGAGATTCCTGAAAAAAACTAGAAGATGGCATTCCATTTGACTTGCTCTTTGTCTTCTAAGTATCTTCCCACAGGAGTTGTAGAGTCTTACCAGAATGATGTGTATAACACAAGATGTATAGTCTTGTTTATATAAAGGATCTAATAAAAAATACCACAGATCAATCTCTAACATAGATGAAACAATCCTCAATAAGGCACTTACAAACACAATGCAGACAAAGATCAAGAGGATCATACACCCTGACCATGTAGAATTTGTTACAGTGATGTGGGGATAGTACAACACACATGATGTAATTTGCTACATAAACAGAAGCACAGGCAAAGCCCATATTATCATTTCAAAAGATGCAGAAAAAGGTTTGATGAAATCCAGCATAAATTGATGACCAAAACCCTAAGGAAACTAGGCATAGAGAGTCTTTCTTTTTATAGTGTGCTATTCAGGCCCAGGGCAGTTTGAAAGCCTATCTCAGGTGATCTCCCTGCATGGCACAGCACACAACTCTTGTCTTAGGACCTTTAGCAGGGAACTCAAATCCTGTCATCTCCGTATCCACTGTGCTGCCAGCAGGGAGAAGCTGAGATTTACTGGTGTCCCTTGTGCTGTTCTGAAACACCCAGTGCTATCTCCTCTCAGAATCATATGCATCTTTCTTTTGCACATAGAGAAACCCAGGGGCATTAACAGACACAGGGAGCACGATGAACTGCATTCCCTCGTGTAAGAAGAAACTTCCTCCATATGCAAATCCATCTACCAGTTCTACAGTCAAATTCCCCTCTCGAGCTGTGGAGCTCACTGCTCTTTCCTCAGAGAGGGCTGAGGTGTCTGGGGAAGGTTGGCTGTGGTCCAGAAGATGACGCTGTTGGGTCTTCTCCTGTGTCTGGTGACAGCTCTCCAAGGTGAGTGTCCTAGACTTTAGACACAGGACACACGGGGAGTTTGTCACTGCAGGTAACTGACAAGGACTGAATGTGCTTCCACAGGTGTCCTGTCTCAGGTGCAGCTGCAGGAGTCGGGGCCAGGCCTGGTAAAGCCCTCAGAGACTCTGTCACTCACCTGCAAGGTCACTGGTTACTCCATCACCAGTGGTTACTGGTGGAGCTGGATCCGTCAGCCCCCAGGAAAGAGCCTGGAGTGGATGGGGTACATAAATAGCAATGGTGGCACTAGCTACAGCCCGTCCCTCCAGAGCCGCATCTCCATCTCCAGAGACACGGGCAAGAACGAGTTCTCTCTGCAGCTGAATTCTGTTACTGAGGAGGACACAGCCGTGTATTACTGTGCAAGACACACAGTGATCTGATACAAATGGGAACCTAGACAGAAACCTCTCTGCAGGGAAACCCGGGAGCAGCAGGGGGCGCTCGGCACACACTGAGGTAGGGAGTCAGTTTCACTGCAGATGTGGAGAAAAGCCTGGAGAGTTTTCTCTACAGGTGATCAACATCTCAATCTGTAGCCCAGGTACAGAGATTACAGGATGTTTTATTGCTCTGATCCTACAGTATTGGGCTTGCAGGGAATAAGGCTTTTATATTTCATGTCTTCATCTTTAAAAATCTGAAATAACAGAAAAAAAAAACATTGTATTTTCATTGACCAAAACCTTAAAATTTATTGTTTTATTGTTAAAATAAAGAAATGGAATGAAGCGCATGCACTGGAACAAACCTTTTGACCTCATGTATCATGGCATGTAATCCTCAAAATGTACAGGTAACTTTGACTTATACAAGGAAGCTCAGCAGCTACTCTGCCAAAGCCCTGGATCAGGACAGGACGGGGCTGCAGCAGGGGCTCCCTGTCTGGGCCCAAGGTCTCCTCTCCGGTGGACACATCCACTCCTAGGCCCTGCTCTCCTCTGCTCCTGAGCACCAGTGCCAATGAGAACACCGGATGCTGCCAGCACAGCTGTCTCACTCCTTTGCCACTGTCATTTTAATGCTGAGAAAGTAAAGGATCTCACACAGTTGTGAAACCTGTGGTTTTGACATAATTGTTGCGCGCTCCCTGCTGTGTGCTGTGCGTGTTATTACGGCCGTTTCCGCAAAACAGCATTTGCGATTACAGGGCCTCCAACTTCTGGGAGCAGGGGCCTCCCAGCCTTGGGATGTGAGAGTGCAGTTTCTTCCAGTCAGAGTAACAAATTTGAGATGTTGCAGAGTGGAATGGCTGTGTTTGTTTCAGGTTTATATGCGAGAAAGTTGGCATGGAAACATCAACCAATCATCTCTTTGAAGGTCAGCCTTCTGTTAATGGATAGACTGGCAGTCAGACTTCACATGGGACTGGAGGAAAGAAATATGCAAACCATATCATATAATCAAGATGTGGTAATACTGAAATCATGATCAATAATAATTAACAGGCCCTGGCAAAGGAAGCCGGTTCTGGGGGATCTCCAGGTAATAGGAATCAGAATTGAGAGGATGTTTCTAAATTCAAGAACTGCTGTGCAACCTCAGTGTCCTCTCTGTACACATTTGGGCCAATGAGGAGACCTGAGCTCTTCCTGCAGGAATGACCTTGCTGGCTCCAGACTGTCTGAATGGGTATTGGCATCTTATGGGTGTCAAATTGAGCCCCCAGGTGAGCTGATCCACTGGTGACATGGGATCTACTGATGTGACTTCAATCATGAAGATGCCTGTAAGAGGCGTCTGTCCTCTCCGCTCACGCTGTTCATCTCTACTCGCTCACGCCAACCTATCGCTACTGCCAGAAGCACTGCATGAGCCCAGTGTGCAAACCGCCCAAGGGAACCCAGTGAGGAGCTCAGAGCTCAAGGAGCACGATGACTCAGAAGGAGGGCACCTTTGGGGACAGGAGCAAGCACTCCAGGACTCCAGGTTACTAAGGCTTCACTGGCATCAGAGAGACAAAGGACAAGGAAGAATAATGAGTCTCTGCTGATGTATAATTGTATGACCTGAGGAGACCCTGCGGGACATAACCTGCACATGACTTAGGAAACGTTGAAGTGTGAAGGGCATATTCATTGTTAAATTAAACTCCCTAAAGATATCACTGATTACCTTTATTCTTGTAATTCATGTAGCTTTAATGGGAAGTACAAAGATGACTCCATACATCTCAAAGTACCTTACAAATTTTCAGAGAGGTGCTTTCAAATGTCAAATTGTCACCAACATCATCTAAGAATAAATAAATTAATTTTATCACCATGAGGTGGAGGTGTCTCATGCAGAAATAAACATTTGTGTTCAGGAAATGAAGTCCTTCCTGTTCATTTCCACAGAGTATGAGAACACACAGTTTTCTCTGCAGGGCCACCGCAGGAGACCTGGGTCCCTGTCTCTGCCCAGCCCCACTTGGAGCCCTGCACTGAGGGGAGGAGGGCAGAGGGGCAGCCAGCTGGACTCAGAGCAGTGTCTGTGGTCTCAAGTGACTTTCACTTAAGTAGGCTTGTGGGACTTGGGTCTGAACTTCCACCGTGGGATATGTATATTTGGGTTTTTGGAAGTCCATTGCTATGATTTTCCCTACAATTTCTGTATTTTGTCTCCCTGACTCTTTCTGTCTGTGTTTGTCTCTCCCTGACATCCAGACATGCATAGATTTTGATGCGTCTATCAGTATTATTGTACATCACATCTACTGAAGGTAAAATACTAAAGCTTTACAATATCTATTTTAATCTGTGTAGGGATTAGTGCTGCACTTATCCTTCTCACAGTCTTCTTTGAAGCAAGTATATAGTAAGTAGGAGATGATTTGCCCTCCCGGCGCTGCACATTCATGGGCTCCTGAAGCCAGAGCTAAGGTGATGTCCTCAGACAGAGGCCATTGTCCCTCGTGAGTGACCTTGGACCAGGCTCTCCCACACTTCCTGGAAGCCATGACACCCTCAGAACCTCACCTTGCTCCACACCTCACCTACAGCAGCATCGTCACTGAAGTATCTCTAGTTTCCTTGGATCCATCATAGAACTAAGTTTGCACCCAGAAACCTGGAGAGAGAGGAAGTCGAGAAGCACAGATGGCAGCTGCTTCCCTAGCACAGAGTCCTGGGTCTGACAGGAGGAGGGTGTCAGGCAGAGCTCCTGGGACCACACGCTACTCTCCAAAATTCTCCAGGATCTCGAGGTGGGAACCCAGGTATCCCTCAAGGCTCTGAGAGGAGGAAGGGAGCACAGACCACCCAGAGTTTTCTCCAGACAGGTACACAGGGAAGGACTTTCCCCATCACTTATTCCACTCTGAGAACTCTCCTTTGTAGACCGACCATTCAGCCTTCCAAGGAAGGCTTAATATATACTTGGTTCATGGCCAGGGATTTAGCTCAGCGGTTCGTTGGCCTGCCTCACAAGCACAAGGACCCAAGTTCGATCCCTGGTACCACACATACACACACACACACAATATATATATATATACACACATATATATATGTGTATATATATATATATATATATACACATATATATGTTTATTTATATATATATATATATACACATATATATGTTTATACACACACATATATGTGCTTCAAAGCAGACTGTAGGAAGGATGACTGCATCATAAGGAGTCCACAAAATATGTGGATGGGCCTGCCAGGACCCAGCTTTATTTATTTTTTTAATTGAGTTTATTGGTACATTTTAGATATACAGTACAGTTGCATTCCTTATTGGGATCTTGTACCTCTACATGACAGGTCTTGGTTCTCATTTTTTCCCCTTTTAGGACCCAGCTTTAATTGTGTGTGATTGTGTAAATGTCCATGTGTGTTAATACTTACTTGCACACTTTATAGATGGGCAGTTATGTGTTACAGCTAATGAAGCTGTGACAGATAAACAATACCTAAATATATATAGAGAGTGAGAGAGTTAATGACAGTTGAAAATGAGAGATTCAGTAACAGGCATCCATATGAACACTGGTCCTGTTTCCTGTCTGCAAATACCAGAAAATAACAAAAGTCACACATGTTCTCACCATAGGAAGAGGAAATATAAACATCACAGAACATGTCCCTTTATGTCCAGGAGCTGGACCAGGATGCAGTTTGTTTAGATCTTAGCAGAGCACAGACATAGTACATAACACATAATGCATAATACACAGTGGGATTTTGTCCACAGTAGTCTGATACTGATACCATTAGATTCAGTGCCAAGCTGAACAGCAATTGTCTCTCCTTACAGATTTTACTCTGGGGCCCTAATCTATAAACACAGATTGCTCTGGGTGTGTTTTGGCCCTGGTCTCCTTGAGAGGAGCTCTAAGGCAGGAGGGGAGGAGGGCAGGCTAAAGTGTGGCAGCCCAAGGTGTATATTGTGTGTCCAGGGAGCACTGTACACTTTTGTGGCTGAGCAGACAGGCAGTAGCTGTATCGGGAGGACCTGGGCTCGATACTCAAGTGTATAAGTAAGATGTGTGATGTATAATTCAAAGTGATATTCATATCTGTGAGTACAGGGCCCACATAAGGCCGTGGAACCTGTGTGCTTACTTAGGAGGCCATGACAAAAGGAGGGTTGACACACAGGCCTAATATTCCTTCCTGGACACAGGGCTTTTGCATACAGTGCTGGTGATGATGGCCTTCCTGCAATAAACTTATTTTCTGGGGTTTGCAGGAGCCCCTGGCTGGCCACCAGCTCCTGCACTTCCTGGATTGTCTTCTTCACTTGAGCCCACATCATGGGTTTCTCCACCTGTGTGGTTCTCAATTCCAAGGGGTTTCTTCCAGGCCCATGGAAGAGGAGGCTCGCGGCAGTGAGTGTGGTGGTGAAGGCTCCACCATGGGATTGGAGTTGTCCTCTCTCCTCGGTCACACGTCCCAGGATGGCAGCCCAAGCACTGTTGTATTATCTGTTTTTCAAAGTTAATTTGATTGGTACCTTGAAGGTATACAATAGAATGACATCGATGAATGGAAATTTGTGTGTTTACATAATGCATCCTGGTTGTTATCTTTTCCCTATTTCCCTGCCTTCCCTTCAATCCCTCCACCCCTCTCTATCTACAAAAACTTCTCCTCCTTTTGTTCTTTTTCTCATATTAATTCCATTCCCATCTTTCTTTTCCCCTACCCCTCCGTCTCCCCTTTTCCCTTGTGCACCTTTTCTTCCTATGTCACAATATCTATTATGCCTTTTAGTCCTTATTTATGCTTTCAGTTTCTCACACTAGAGAAACTATTAGTTATTTACACATGTGTCCCTTTCATGTCACTTAAGAATATGGCATCAATGTACATCCATTTAGCTATAAATGTCTCTAGCCACTTCTTAATGGCTGAATAGTACTCCATTTATTTAAAAAAGAATTTTCTTTATGCAGCCTCCAGCTGATGGACAATTGAGCTGCTTCCCAGTTTCAGATAACACAAACGGTGCTGCTATAAGCATGGGTGCACTAATATAACTGTCATATAATTCTTCTAATTCTGTGGGGCAGATACCCAGCAGAGGACAACCTTAGTTAAATGGGACCTTCAAATGGGACTACTTTGAGGTATCTCCATACTGATTGCCACAGTGCTTGCA